TCGAGTTCTTAGAATTAGACTTAGACGTTTTATCGCGATGAATTTGTTATACGAAAATTGACACGAATGTGAGATTGCGTGAGATATTAATGTGGTAGTATATAAAAGCCGGTATTCATAGCCAGATTTTATATTCAAGACCGTCTTAAGTACAGTCTTAAGAAGTCACGAATCAATCAGAAAACTGCATTAGTGTCTTAAGATATTATTTAAGACGGTCTTGAAATACGACTCGACTATGGCTGTGTTCGAAAATTCACTGTCAGTGCTGAAAATGTATAATACACGTCACGTAAACTGTAGATGTTCAGTGCTGGCAATGAATTTTGGAACACAGCCTATGAATACTGGCCAAAGACATGTCGATGCGCGGCGCGTCCTCTGGTGACTTCGAGCTTTGCTTTAGAATCCCCTTAATATACATATTAATTTATATAGGATGTTCCAAAATTCGCGTGCACAGTGTGAATGCTCACTTTTTTTATGTTAGAAAAAGTAACACTTTCTTCTATGGCAAAATTGCAAATAATTTAGAAACTTGAGTGCAATTTTACCTAAATTCAAAGTTACTTCTTCTAGCAAAGAAAATCGCATTGTGTATTCCAGTGTGCGAATTCTAGAACAGTCAATGTATCAGTTTATTATATATTAAAATTTACTTAGTATATGTATTTATTTACTTTATGTATTAAAATTTACTTAGAATTATTTTATAGTATAAATAAATTCTATGTAGAATTCTGAGAATTCTCGTATTTCTGGTCTTAAAAAGCTTGTGAAAATCGATATATACATATTCCTGCTTTTACATTAATTGTTTATATGCTTTCAAATTCAAATTAATAATTCTAATAGATATTTCATATCCGTTAATAGATATATTTCATATTTTTGTCAAATTATTTCTCATGAATCTATCAAGAAATTCGCGTCCAGCACGATAAAATAATATTTTAATTCCTTTCTACGCGGTGTTCGCAACTATCAATATATTGTGAAATATTTAAACGGAGCTGGATTAATATCGCGAATTATTATTGTCTCATCTCGAGATATGTGATATAAAGTACGTATTGTAGGAATTTTATGTATGTGTGTGATGAGTCCTTTCAAATCATCAATCTCTTAAATTTCATACACATTAATTTTCTTCACAGTGACTCGGCTAGCATGTCCACGTTTAATAGTAATTATAGTATTCTGACAGTGAATGTCTATTTTTTTATATAATATTCATTCAGATATGCACTGGATATCCGGAAAATATCCGGTATTTAGCCAAATAATCCCTACCAGATATTTGACCGGATATTCGATGTCACAATTTTTTCGGATATCCAATATCCAACAATTTTATGATCCGATGCATCCCTAATATTTATTTAAGTTTCAATTATTGATATTGGAATCGCATTGTTCATATCGCAATGATATTACAATACAATTGAAATTGATTCCATCAAGGTTTGAAAGTATGAATTCATGAAAAATTATTCATGAAAATAACAATAGTACAGCACATTATTCTTATCATTATATTTTTATTCCAAATTTATTAAAATTGAATAGAGAATGTCTCTGTGATCGCTTCTACAACAGAGAGATTCTTTTGTAATAATATGATAATACAAAAAAAAATGTACATGGTACAAAATTATGACTTAGTCATATTTCCCATTTAAAACCCGTAAATGGAATGCTGATTTTGTCACAACTCTTTGTCGTTACGTAAAATGTTATGAAGTATCTATCACGCACCATCAAATAATTTTATGAAATTTTTGTAAGACTTGTACGAAAATTATTTTTACTGAGAACTTTCACATACAGATAAAAATATAGTAACATATTAACATTTTCGCAGTCGCAGGTAATTGTTTTACTATCCAAATGGAGAAATGTTTTAAGGCTGCATTCCATTTAATGCTCACAACGCTCGTAAAATGATTTCATCCTTGATACTTATCAAATATTGAACAAGGACAAACGATGCTCATAAGCGTTGCCAGCGTCAAATGGAACGCAGCCTAAGCTCGGATCTACAATAAGTTTTAAGCCTTAAACTATAAGAAATAGACGAAATCATAGTCAATTATTCTCCTCGCATTCGATCATAATTGATCAATTTTTTACGACTTAAAACATCTATTCTCATAACACGGAGTCATAATTAAATGATAATTATATCACATAACGTTATCATGACATTATTTAATACTTAAAAATTAACTTATAAGTGACGAATGAAGTCATGATGATGTTCTACTTGGGTTGTAGATTCGGACTAAAGCGACGTCTACAATGGGATTTTAAGGCGTGAAACTTAAGTTTTAAGCCCTAAGATATAAGAAATGAATCAATCGTAGTCGATTTTTCTCCTTTGACTGTGATCAATCTATATCATACAATTTAAGGCAACTTAAAGCTTAAGTTTTATTTTAGCCTTAAAGTCTCATTGTAGACGCTATTTAAGAAGATCTTGCTGTTTGTATTACCGACTAATACAACTATATAATTTTTTTATAACAATTATCTTTTTTTTCTTTTACAAATTTGAAAATCCTTTTCCAGAATTAAAGCATACGCATGAATACGTGTTTGTAAAGTGGAGTTTATGTCGAAATCGTTAAAAAATTTCGAAATTAATATCTTCTTTATCATTTTTTAATCTAATATGGTAACGCTTCAATATGTGACGCTTTAGAGCTATCATATCTAGAGACTCTTTAAGAGACTGACTATAAATGTAAGTCTACATAGTCGCTTTAGAAAGCCGTAAGCTAATTATTTTCTCATATTTGACTGTGATTGGTCAATATTGTGGCTTTACGTACCTCAGGCTTACTGGTCTGTTAAAGCCTTGGTTGTGGACCCAAGGGTGTCCGCTATTTCCTAGCCATTCACGTTCGGAGCACATATTTTTCTTTCTCGCACTATTGCAGAGCGAAATAGAACATATCTTTTCTCACAAAATTTGGCTAGAAAATGGACGACACTTTTTGACGGCCATGCAGTCTGTGATAGAGAATCTCTAGTCACAGACTAGTAGTTTGCACGAAAAAACACTTTTTTTACTAAAAATTATTGATTATATATTCTTATATAAAAATACAATTTAATATACTTGTCTTTGAAATAACACTGTAGAAAATACTTCTACATAAAGAAATACTATAAGATTGATACTGTAAAATTAATACTATAAGATTGATGAATAAAATATCTTTTTCCATTACTCCATTTGACAAACATTTTGAAAACATAAACAACTTTAATTTTTCAACGAATGCGAACATGTTAATATGTGTATCAAAAGACAAAGATTTTTTTTAGACTGTTTCATAATTAATAATAATAATACCTGTCACATTTTGTGATTACTGCTTTTCTGATAACTATGAGTTACCTCTTAAGGTTGAGACACTTCGTTCCTCTATCTTCCAGAGTCGTTTGTAGGACGTGACGTAGGTGATGTGAGACCCAGCGGGGTTGTAGGATTCATTGTTTATCCGATGTCCAACGTACTGTTCTCCACTGCACTCTGACGTTGCGCAATGACGCTGCTGTTGACGACGATGATGATGCCCGCATACGTCATCGTCGCATGCGGCGTCAAAGTGCTACGCGCAGGGCACCTCGAATTGATGTCAGTGAACAAACTGATGATGCGTTTCGTAATGAGGCTGATGATGCAGCGGCGGCGTGCCGCCGCTCACCGGAGCCGTTTGATGCGTGTGCAGTTCGGGGGGAACGGTACTGGGACTGTACTGCTGAGAGTCGACGATGACGCTGGTGTAACCAGCCGACGAGGCCTCTAGATGATGATGATGAGGGTGTTTTACCGTCCCATTGCCGTTGCTGTGATGAGCCTGAGGATGACCTTGCTGATAGCCGTCGTGATGTTGAAGCGCCGCAGCATTATAGCTCTCATTGTTGTTGAAACCGCAGTTCGGGTACATGATAACGCTGCCAGTTTCGTTCAACGTCGTCGATGAGGTTGAATCCGGTATAGAATGATGATGATGCGAGTATCCAGTAGTCGGTAGCAGGCTTATGGAATTCGTTAAGTGAACATCGAAACCGTCAGCGCTACCGCAGGAACTTGAAGATGTCGAGTAAGGTCGCTTCTGTTGGCCGCTCTGAGGACTATGTTGTTGCTGCTGCTCGAAGGACGTCAAAGAAGATGCACCTTGATGCAGTAGATGCTGGGGATGCTGTCGTTTCTGCTGACTGTTCTGCGGGCTGTGTTGTTGAATAGTCAGGGACAAAGAGGATGTAGTGTGATGCATAAGGTGCTGATGGTGCGTGTCTTGCTGGTGCTGCAGAGTGTTCACAGGGTCTTGGTGGAGGTGGTCTCGAAAATTACAAAATCGAAGATTAAAATCGGACAGTAATTTCTTATTTATAGAAGGATGAAATATTAGTAACAAGAAACAATTGTAAAAGAAAATGATGAATTTTCCATTTTTACATTGTTCGGAATGTAGATATATCGTTATATGTATTGTATGTCTGACTGTATATTTTATAAAGTAGTATATTTAAGATTAGAAGC